AAGAAAATATTATTACATTGTTTTCATCAATGATTTAATTCTTTTGATTTTGACAAAAAATTAATGCCTTCGTTTTTCAAGGATTGAAATGGAATCCATCGTTTTTCCTCATTGGACCACGAGAATGGGATAAACTCTGATGTCTTCGATGTATCATTATGACGTTTTATTTAATAGCAAAGATTTATTTCTATTTATTTGTTATCTATTTTTAAAAATTATTTTATTCTGATAGCATAAAGTTTAAATAAGTGGAATTTTTAAAGACTTGTTCAGGGCTTAAGGACCAAGTGTTTTTGTGATAACAGTTATAGAATATATTTATTAATTACTAACTATACACTAACGAGATTTTTAATTTGTAACATCTCAAAATTTATACCCAAACATAAACACAATTATTAAGCCAGTCCAGAAATGACTACTTGTTCAATTTCGAAACTAGGAATATCATCAATATATAGCCTTCTATGTAAGCTTTCCGATAAGTAGAAGGTGGTAAGTTTAATTTCAATTTATAATCTAAAGCATATATTATCTTCCCTTTTAATTCAAAGGCAAAGAAAAGGAGCTAAAAATCTCCCAAACACACAACAATTATCCCAAAATACTATTATCTTCTGTCCTAAATATAATATCTAGTTTATAATGTAAATTACATTATAAGCTAGATTTGATATTTGGGACAGGGCTGTTACTTAGCAAAATACATATGCACAATGCACAACTTCACTTTGCCCCAAAATATACCAAGGAGCGATGAGATTATTTATGCTCGAGATACATATAAATACCCAACACTTTGGTTGCTACTTTTGATTCAACCTTTGCTTGAAGAATATGAAATCGTGGGTCTGAGATAAAAATCCAAGCAACTAATAAGGGCAAAATTAAGCACAACAATTTATACAACTTGATGGGAATTACTAGGACAAATCATAAATACTGTACTATTTATATCTTTAGTGTATTGTTCAAAGGGAAGATTAATCTCTTAAATTTTTGTAGTTTTAACTAGGTTGTAACTCTATTTTTAAATTATAACTCTATACCATTGATAACATATTGAGAAGTGTTCAATGTGGCAGTTTTAAAGCCTAAAACGCACCCATTCAGTTAGAGGCTCAACAAATCCTCCAACACTATAAATTCAGTTTTAACTAGGTATGACTGCAGCTAATCGCAATGCTATGCTGCAATGGACGGAAAGCTATGAACATGTTAGCAACTTACAAGGTTTATTATCTCTTTGTGAAGAGCCCGATTTGTTATGTTTTCTAGATCGATCTGCTCCCAATTGTTGCACTCAATACAATGATTTTGGTGCATTTAAGCTTTGCATAAAGGGTCTCGTGTCCCCATGTTCACATGTAGCGAATCACCATAGCACCCATAACCTCGCATATGTACCATCATTGCATGGCATCTTTTATTGGTACGTCTTAGATACGCTCTCTCGTAAACTTTATCTTACACTCTTCCACCTATAATCACTGGGACACAGTATTTGTGTGATGGCTCCTGGAGTTTTTTTCAAGATATTTCCTTATTTGTAAAGAGTTCTCTAGAGAAAAAAGACACAAAAATAACATTTAAATTTAAAAATCTTAAATAAAATTTCAATTTAGGCATAAGTGATCAATTTGGGATTTACAAATTTGTTGACATGATCATATTGCCCTTTATTTTTTATTGTTTTTAAAAAAATCAAATACCCTCACTAGTTGGCCGATTGCAGGAGTTCCGGCGGCCGGTAACTATTTTTTTGAAAATTTTTACAACTTCAGTAACATAGTTAACAAGTTTTTTAATGCTATTAACATGTTTAGTGTAGCATTTAACAACAGGTTTTTCAAAAAATTTAAAAAGTAATATTTTTACAGTTTCAGCAATGCCGTTAACAAGTTCCACAACTCTAATAACAAGTTCGGTATTACAATTAACAACAAGTTTCTTACAAAATTCAAAAGGTGGCATTTTTACAACTTTAGTAACACGATTAACAAGTCATGTAACGATATTAACAACTCTCACAGAGGTTGATTTTTTTAATATTAGCTCCCTATGAAGATTGTACAACAAAATTTTTTCACTTGTAAATATCATTATATGACTTGTTAACCGTGTTAATGAAATTGTAAAAATACTACTTTTTGAATTTTTTAGAAAATTTATTGTTAAATGCTATGCCGAACTTGTTAATAGAGTTACGAAACTTGTTAACGGTATTACTAAAGTTGTAAAAATACTACTTTTTGAATTTTTCTCGAAAACCTGTTGTTAACTGTTATATTAAATTTGTTAATAGTATTACAAAACTTGTTAATTGTGCTACTGAAATTATAAAAATTTTCAAAAAAAAAAAAAAGTTGCCGGCAGCCGAAGCTCCCACGACCAATTGTCAGCCAACTGTTGGAGCTCTGGTGACAGCGGACACCTGAGCTCTGGCAGCCGCCGTAGGCTAGCGAGGGTATTTGATTGTTTTAAAAATAATTAAAAAATAAAGGGCAATATGGTTTTTTTAGCAAATTTGTAAATTCCAAATTGGTCACTTATACCTAAATTGGGATTTTGCTTATTCAAGTGACTATTTTGGGATTTCTAAGTTTAAATGTCATTTTTGTGTCTTTTTCCTTTCTCTAGAACTTTGCGGTTGAATTTTATTTTTAATATCTTATCTTCTATTTTATAATAAAATTATTTTTTTATTTGAAAAATGAAGTACCATTGCAAACTTTAGCATACTAAGAATTCTTTTTTTTCTCGTATTTATTCTAACATTCAAAACTACTAAAAATTTTCATTAGCCAATCATCCTTAAACACACATTGAACTTCCTAAATAAGTTTTACTCACATGGGAGATTCCGATCCTCATGCTTAAACATACATTTTCGTGAATAATAAGCCATATTTTTTAAATTAAAAAGCCAAGCACTAATGACAAGAAGTTATAAAATAAGATTGGATTTACAACCTTTCACTTATAAAGAATTTCATTGCCCCTAGATTATAAGGCCATTGACATATAAATTAAAAAAAAAAAAAGGCCATTGACATAAGTCATATTGATAACAACTGAACCAATTTGTATAGGCATTTATTTTTTTTCACATACAATGAAGGATTTTCATTTTCTTACATATGTTTTATCAATGCATTTTCAAGATTTTGGAATTCATAATATGGGATGTTTGCAAAGGAGGGACACCAATCTATTACTCAACTAAGGATGTACTCAAGTACAATCACTACACTTACCAAAAGTGGTAGGCATGCTCATAAGTCATAACTCAATATTCTGGCTTTGACGACACTCAATGGTACAACCTCTTATATAATATTGAAGCAACCATTCCAGCTTTCTTTTGTACTTCCAATTCCTACAGGCATCATTAATTTGCTATTGTATATGTTCCCCTGCGCAATGCTTGATTTGACTAAATTATTATGAATATTTTTAGGAAAACATGTACCTATATTAAATAAATAAATAAATAAATCAAAGCAGTAAAAGAATATATGTATATGTGTATGTAATAAGCTTTTCTTTGAACAGGATCTATATATGATATTTATGTTGTTTATAATCCAAAAAATTAATTGTTTGGTCCTTGTATTTTTTTTTTTTACTCGGATGCAATTTTGTCTGATTTTAAATTCAATACAATTCAATTCTAATAGTTGACTCCATTGAAACCCTTCTAAACTTTGTCTCCGCATAACCCAACCGCTTAAAATGTTAGTCCTCCTTTTTAGAAAATAAAACTATAAATTCATATAATTTTAACCCTCCTTTTAGAAGATAGAATTATAAGGATTAAAATTATTTTTAACTGAGGAACTAATATCATAAATGACTGAACTATATATATTAAATTATATCAAGTCAAAATTTAAGATATGAATTTTGAGCTAGTAAAAACTATAAGAATTGAGTTGAATTGAAATTTAAGCACTTAGTTACAATTCATAGAGTAAATGATTAATTTTTCATATACATAATTTTATATTAAAATATAATTCAGTGGTGGTGCTCCCAAGTCCCACGTCCTTGTCAATTAGGAATTTTATACTGTAGAATATTATTTAAATGGAGTAATCATGAACAGATTTGGGTAAAATAAAGATATTACCATACCAATTCAGACGATGTTTATAGATCTGATTACAAATTAATAAGCCAATCAGTAACGACAGTACGACACTAACAGGGCAGTCACCTCAATGTTTTTGAGATTTCTGATGAAAACCTCCTATTTACGCAGACACGCAAAGATCTGTTAGCAATTTTTACCCAGTTATTATTACTACTACTACTGCATCTGATATGACTCATTGACTTTTAACATCAAAAAGAGAAATTGCTAATCATGATATGTGTTTCCCACACTCCCCCAAGAATCTTTCAATAATCTAACCAAGTAACCTACCAACCCATTATAAAATTACTTTAAACACTTTGGTAGAAATAAAAACCGCCATACTTAAGAAAGGAGAAAGGCATGAAGCTACAAGAGAACATACTTGGAGTATGATTGCTTTGAGTATCTCTTTATATTAATACAATGATCAAATTCGAATCCATGCTCATATTTAGCTTCTTAAACTGATTTTCAATGAGACCATACCAACAAAAGAATTGCGCTAGTGATTTTTAGTGGGTTCTAGCTCGCATATTGTGTATGTGGGGAAGTTGTGACAGTTGACTCCATGAGAGTACTTAGGTCTTATCTTAAATGGGTTTTCAGCAGACCAATAAGATGATTGAAAATCCAAATTCCCTCGACCCACCACACCACCAACAAACAGAAGCACTTGTTTTCTTTTCTCAATATGTGCACGTGAAACCCCAATAATTTCTCATGCACTAGTGGGGTCTCTAAAGCCAGCCCTTCCTCTTTTGTTTTCATGCCAAAATCCATCCCTCAGAATCTCCCCCATTACCTTCCTCTCTCTCTCTCTCTCTCCCCCCCCCCTCGCTCCCCTTCTTATTCTCTCTCTCAATGTTTCTTCTCCCTTGTCTTCCTTAATATCTTCGACCATTCATTACCAGTCTCCAACAATGGCAAGGGCAATGGCTTTTTCACCATTCTTTCTTTTCCTTGTTTCTCTTTATCTCATCATTGCAAATGGGGTTCACTCTTTTGGAGAGAAGAAGACTTTCAAAGTGCAAAACTTGCAGGCGAAACCACAACTTGCTCCCCTGGGTTGTCTCCTCCCAGAATCAAGTAAGTTAAATAACAGAAAATGGGAAGCGCAAATTAAAGATGTTATCTTTGCTTTACTTTAGGATCTCCCATTATTTTATCAAAACTGTTCTGCACTTTACTTTTAGGATCTAGGACTGTGCTTTCCTTCAAGAAATACCCTCTTCATCGTTCTCAGTTAAAAGAATGAATTGGTTTATATGTTCTCTTGATTGAACCGTGTTGTATTATTGATTTGATTCCTCTGATTTGAATTCTATATCTATTTTCTTTGTGAGTTCTGAAGCAGACTTCATTTGAACTTGAATTCTCAGGAAGGGAGAAAGGCGCTGTTGTGATGGAAATGAAGGACAGGGATCATTGTTCAACGAAGAAACATGATTGGAATAGGAGGCTTCAGAAACAACTGGTGTTTGATAATCTTCGTGTACGTTGGATGCAAAACCGAATCAGAAAATTGGTCTCTGGTCGTATTGAGGATGTTTCAGAAACCCAAGTTCCATTAACTTCTGGTATAGTTCTCCAAACTCTAAACTACATTGTCACAATGGGATTGGGTAGCCAGAACATGACAGTGATTGTTGACACTGGAAGCGACCTGACATGGGTCCAATGTGAGCCTTGCAAGGCATGTTATGATCAACAAGGACCTTTGTTCAAGCCTTCTACATCCCCTTCCTATCAATCAGTTCTTTGTGACTCAACAACCTGTCAATCTCTTCTTTCTGCTACTGGAAATTCAGAAACATGTGAAAATAACGCATCGCCTTGCAGTTACATTGTTAACTATGGTGATGGGTCCTATAGTAATGGTGAACTAGGTATGGAGAACCTTAGTTTTGGAGGTATACCAATAAACAACTTTGTATTTGGTTGTGGTAAGAATAACAAAGGTCTGTTTGGAGGAACCTCAGGCCTGATGGGTTTAGGAAGAAGTAAACTCTCAGTGATCTCACAAACGGATTCTATATTTGGAGGAGTTTTCTCTTACTGTTTACCAACAACGGATGACGGAGCTTCTGGGTCATTAGTTATGGGTAATGAATCTTCGGTTTTCAAGAATGTTACTCCCATTGCTTACACCAGAATGATTCCTAATCCACAGCTATCTACCTTTTATGTTCTGAATCTTACCGGCATTAATGTTGGCGGTGTTGCTCTTCAAGCTTCAAGTTTTGGCAATCATGGGGTAATAATTGATTCTGGAACTGTGATCACAAGGCTTGTTCCATCTGTTTACAAGGCTTTGCAGGCAGAGTTCTCAAAACAGTTCACTGGTTTCCTTTCAGCACCAGGGTTTTCAATTTTGGATACTTGTTATAACCTTACTGGGTATCAAGATGTAAACATACCCACCATAAGAATGTATTTTGAGGATAATGCTGAGCTGAATGTGGATGTAACTGGCATACTCTATGTGGTAAAAGAGGATGCTTCGCAAGTTTGTTTGGCACTGGCAAGTCTTTCCGATGAATATGAAATGAGCATTATTGGGAATTATCAGCAGAGGAACCAGAGGATAGTATATGATATCAAACAGTCTAAAGTGGGATTTGGAGGGGAGCCTTGTGGTTTCTCATGAATGGAGAACATTTACCAAAGAATATGTCTTAAGGAGGATATAGTTCTTTGATGCAAAACTTAAGGAATGTTTGATATGAGAAGAGAAACATAATTCGTTTCTCTGACACAAAAAAACAAAAAGTAATATTATTATGTTATTGTTATCTTTACCCAGCAATTGTCCTTTATTATTATAATGATTTTTTTTTTTTAACCAGCAATTATAATGATTTTAAAACAACAGGTATTAGTAGTATATATAATGACTTGTTATTTATTGTTTAATTGCTTTCACTCTACGAGCCAGACAAATTTTAAGCAATTAAGATATTGTGAAAGGATTGAAATGGGGGAAGGAATCAACCCAAATATGCAGTTTCAATCATTATAAAACGCTTGCAACAAAAATAGGATATCTTTGTACACTAAAAGGGTCTAAAGGAGGGGCGCTTTGCAATTTGCATTGAAGATCTCAACAGAATAAAAGCATTGTGCTTCAAAATTTAATTATGCAAAGTGAAAATCCCCCATTTTCTTTTGGCAAAGATAGAGCCTAACTTCACCACAAGTAGGCTACATAAAACAAGGCTTCTGAACTGAAACAACTGAAAAACGCAATATAATGATAGAACTCTAACTTCACCACATCTTGAAAACAGTGGATTTTTCACATTCTTGCAGCAAAACTTGACTTTCTACCTAATTGTCTAAATCTTCAAAACTTCTTAATGAGAGATCCAAATGCCACTTGAACTCTTCCAAAATATTCATTTTCTTTAGAACTATGATGCATTCAATTAGGAGGCATAATTTGTCCGGACATCGATTTCCATTTTCTGTTCTTACCCTCAAGAAGGGGGCAAAAGGAGAGAGCAAGAAGCCACTGTCTGTTCAGAGGTTGAACTAAACATTGTGGCAGAGAATTCTCACTACACAGAGCAACAGAGCTTGGTATCAATGGAAGCTAAACTTAAGCAGAACGCCTGGTAACCCGTCAAAGGATATCTGCAGACTCACAGAGGAGAATAAAATTGCTGTTAAACCAAGTTTCGTGTTTATTTCAAACTTTGAGGTCTAAACTTTGGGCTCAACTAAGCTACCATTTAAAGTTGATACCTGTAATCCATAACAAATTTTGATTTTCCTACTCTACCCAGTTGAAGAATTGTCTGCTTCCCATTCTCCTTTATTGAACAAACAAGTCAGTTAAGCAGAGACTCAATAGGTTATTTTGTGAACATGAACAAATATCATATTCTCAGTAGGCAACCCCTTCAGAGCTTAGTTAAACATGTAAACAAACGTACCTCCAAAGTCAGTTGGAAATTTTTTACCGATCTTTGGATTCTAAGTTCTGCTCTTCCTTTATCTTTAAAGTCAAGTTCAAACTGCTTTGAAGTCTGCAGGAAAGGGGTAAATAAGTGAAGTCCAGATATGTCGTTTTAGATGAAACTTTAAAAGCAAGCATCCCATTTAGGTTCTTACCTTGTTGTAAAGTGGAACCCTTGAGAACAGTTGATGGACTTTGTCGAACTTTCTCTCCCAATCTATGGGCAGTCCTTTGATATGTTGTACCTGGAAGACATAGAAATCAAAAGCAAACAACCCCACATTTTATCAATCAGGAAAGTTGAACATCAAGTAATGGAAGACATAGTTCAATTCAGATATGGTATACCTGGGTAATGTTCTTTAGTGACATAGATTGATGCTTGGGTACATATGCTCTCATGCTTCTGTAGCTTCCTGTACATGTTGCTGCTGTAGGTATAAACCTGCAAAAAGAAATAAATTCTGAGATGGGTAGAAGACAATATCACTCACTCACTCAGTGGGGAATTGAGGAAGATTGAAATATTGACTTACATCACAACAGCAAGAGGCGGTTTTGGCTGTTTATCATGTGAATTATGACGATATCCCTACTTCCAAGCAAAACATAATGGAATTAATGGTACGTGAAATTTTCACTAGACAATCCGAAGGAATACTGTGAATGTAGATGGGCAAAAATCTGAACCTGATCCCAAATATGGTATTTAGAACCCATGAGGTTAGCCGTTACTGTTCCAAGGAAACTATCGTCTGAATTGGACAAGAGACCTTTTACATTCTGAGCTACAATGAACTGAGACCTCCCATTCCGCCTCTTGTGGTAAGCAACAGCTAGTTTCCTATTCTGGCGACCCTGACCTTCCTGTAATTCAAGACTCCATGAAGTTAAGGTTTTTTTTTTCACTCAAAAAAACAAAAAAAACAAACCAAGGCATTAAAAGTGATCATGATTATAACTCCTTGACTAATAACTTCATTTGACATAACAAATCAAGTTAGTGATATTGTTGACGCAGATATCCAAATGTAATGACCACGTACATCCATATGTATCGGTCTTAAGAATGTATGCATTCAAATCCTATTTTTTTAAGTTTTAGCGAAGTTCTCGGTCCTTGTTACTGTATCAAAGGATGGCAAGGCATGCAAATGTAACAGCAGCCACCTAAATCCATGAATATCAGCTTATGAGGGAGGAGAAAATAGAATTATCCTTGAATACGAGGCTGATTCGTTTTTTGTGTTCACCCCTCAAAGCTAAATTCGCACTAAAACATACACCCTGTTGTGCAATTTTTCAAAAGTAGAATGATGTAAAAGAGTAAGTTAATCTAACTTGTTTCAAAAATCACAGAAATCTTAATCTTACATAAGTATAAAGCGAATACATTGCGCCCCCAGATAGTCCTTCTGGCTTTGCTTCCTTTACAACGATGCAAGAACACCTCCCAATATCTATGGGCAACGGTCTACAGATCAAAGACCTGAACCAACAATTTAACACATCTTAATCAGCTTCATACTGGAAATGAAAATTTACAGTGTAAGACATTCATTAGAAGAAGAAGAATTTTACTCACTTATTGGGCAAGGTTGACCAGGAGGAAGCTGGGGCTGCCTCTGAACCAGAGAAATCCCAAATCTTTAAAGAGCTCGAATTCTCAGAACATAAATTATCCCATATCTTGCACCCAAAAGCCTTTTCAGGTTCGTTCATTCGCATACAGAACTGAAGCGAGTTTGGCTTCAAAATCCTATCTGTGGATAAAGACTTGGACTTTGAGAAGTGTTTAGGCAAAGAATATGACCCATTTGCAGGCACTGAATTTTCCTTGTCACAAAAGCGAGTTACATCTTTCTTCTTGGGCGTGACATTCTCTTTATTATCAGTTGAGACTTCTCTGGGCGTGAAATCTTCACATTTGTCACATTTGGAAGCTAAGCTGCCACTGTCGCTGCAGCTACGGCTGTGCCTGAGTTCAGTAAGAGGATTGACGTAGAGAGAATTGTATGACTGACCCAAAATGGAGGATCTTCTGCAAGCATCCGTCATGGGTGATAAAGAAAGGAACAAACTTTGGAGGATGCGGCAAGAAAGAAATCTCAGTTTTTAGATAAGAAGCTGGGTCTAGGTGGTTTTGGGAAAGAGTTAATATGGCTACGATTTGAATTTAAAGGTTTGAACTTTGAAAGAATTAATATGTCGTCCTGCTCTTGAGCAATTGTGCAGCGGTACGGTGTGCATAGGAGACTTGGCGGTGGTTTCAATCTCAGAGACTCATCAATGAGTGGGGTCCAGTTTGAGATTGAAATCTTAGCCGTTGTTGGGCTTTCTTATGCTGAGATGGAGCTCACTGAATACTCTGATACTATGTGTGCGATTTATAGGATCAAAAAGATGTTTGAATTTGAAAATGTTTGGGGAAACGGACAAGTGTTCTGGACTTCTGGGGTCGGTTATCGGTTGGACTGTAGTGGGAAATTGCATATTTGGGTTTTGTACGGACTAACGGTAACTATTCGAAAAAGAAAAATAATCTCTCCAAATGACGCAATTTTCAAAAGGATATGTGTTGCGATGCTCATGCGAATATTAAATATGGATTTTACCAAAAAAAAAAGGTCTGGTTTTATTGCAATAAATACATAATTAAAAAAAAGATGCTTACGAACAAATTAAAAAAAAAGATAATCTTTTCATTATTGTTTTTAAAAAAAATGTATTTTTTAAAATTTATAAATGAAAAATTAAATCTGGACTATTTGAAATACGATGTTTTTTTAATAAAGTAGTCAATCTTTTTCCCTTTTGTTTTGGGAAATAGGCCTTCTATATCTTGGAGACCTATTGTAGTTTAAATAAAATCAAAATTATGATTTAAAAATAATTTTATAATATACGAAATAAATATATAATAAAAATTATCTTGATTTATGTGAAAATATTTTTAAAAAGTGCCTATAGGTTTGTCAAATACTCTCGTAATCTTGTTTCTTTTATAAAAAGTATTTTTGCTGGCCAAAAATAATAATAAAGCACCACGTCATCAAGCTGGTGCATTCTGATTGAAGGATTTTAAATTTCATTCGAATAAATTGTACTGATAATTTCTGTTTTATATACTGCTTTCATGTTCTAACTTATATTGCTTTCTTATTGAAATACAATTAATTTTATGTGCATTAAAATTTTCAATTCCTCATGTTATATATACCCAAGCTTTGGTACATCCGTACGCACATTGCATGCTTGTAATCTTTAGGCTGTGGCACTGATTGTTTATTATTGGTTACATAAATGAAAAAAATCCTTTAATCAAATTTAAGTTTCTGGTGGTCATATATTCTGTTGGTTTTGAATTTATATTTACATTCTCATTTTGCTTTTCTTTTATGTCTTATATTTTTGTCAAGTTAACCTTTGTCTTGAAGCAATACTCAATAACTTGAAGCTTCCACAATATTAATGGTAATTTTGGCGAAGTACTCAAACTGTGGAGATATATAAGATCTGGAAAATGACATAAAAAACAGTTTAAAATTGCAATATTTAAATTCAGGTACCTAAGAGGTCAAAATCCTAAAGAAGGAAGTGGTGCCTGATATGGTATTTTGCATAGTCAAATGAGTAAAACGTCTTTATATCAGTTTTTTATTAAAAAAAAAAAGTTACCAAACTTATCATTACCATTACATTTCTTGTCATTGATTATTCAATACTTGTCCAATATATCACAACTTATTAATAATTAACTTGTCATTACTAGTATATTGCTTATTATTTGTTGTTCAATACTTGTTATTGTCAGTTCACAACTTGTTAATAAACTTTTGAATATAAAGGAATTTTTGTTATTTAACTCATTTATAAAATACCAAATTAGGTATCACTTCCTCTTCTGAAATTTTGGCCTCTTAGATGCCTAAATTGAAATATTTCAATTTTTAACTTCTTATTATGTTATCTTTCCTATAAGATCATCTTCAAATGCTGAATGCACACTCAACCCCTAGAAAAAGTGACATATTTCTTCACATCCACGCCAAGCTTTAATTCTTCTCAGACTGCTTGTGAGGCTATTAATATTTTATTGAAAATCAATCTACCCTTTACAAAAGCACTTTGATTAAAAGCCACGTAATTTTATAGCTGACCTTGCATAGATTTATTGGACAAAAATCTTTACAGATAGAGGGCATTGTCTTTTTTTTTTTTTTTCCTGACCTGAAGAGAGAGCATTGTCTAAATTTATTTCTTTGATGTTTTTGTCTCTTATTTTCTAGTTCAGGGCTTTATCTCTTAGGCTCATGACTGTCTTTTCAAACTTGATTGTATGATAAATTGAAACAACAGTTTTAGAATGTTTAAATATAAAGAAAAGTTAAAAGTTAGATAGAAAAGTCAGAAAAAAAAATTATTTCAACTTTAACGTGAGTTTTGGAAAAGTTATTTACTTTCAAAGTCATGCCAAGATGTTACAACCACGGGTGCTAATAGTTTTGATTTTTGTTGGTTTGAACCTTTAATTTTAATGATCTAATGCTTAAAATTGAAGTTATGAAAATTCCAATTACAAATCACTTGAATAGTTCTATTTATGTTTGATAAAATAAAAAAATTACCACTACTCAATATTTCTATTAAATCAAATACTTGAGCTCTTTAGTGGCATAAATTCCAAAAGAAAAGGATAATAAATGAGGAAGAGAGAAGAAGCTATTTACTGCTCCCACTTCCTTCTAACTTCTTCTATGTGGGCCCATGCGTCCTAAGCCCAGTATTAACATCTTCTGGCCCATTAGTTGCCCCCTCATAAATGTAAAGTAATTTGCTTGATTTTTTTTTTCCCCCAACTAAAAGCTAAAACAGTACTTCCTTCGTTTCTTTGTTTTTTTTTATAAGAGATAATTGATCTAATTATTCTGCTCAAAATATTAGCTAAATTAGTTGAAATATGTAAAAATCGTAACATTCCTGTCAAAAATACCCTCATTTATATGGAAGAGAGAAAATATACGGCAAAGAGAGAATGTGTAGGAATTAAATTCAATTATATGAGTAATTATTAATTAAATGGGAGTAAAATGAAAAATCTAACCAACAAAATTTAAAACAACATTTAAATATCTCTTATAAAAAGAAACATGTCCTATTTCATAATTGTCTCTTATTATTAAAAACAAAAAAACAAAGGAAGTAAGATTCAAGTATCGGGGCTTGGACTCAGGCATCAATACCAACATCAACTAATGAAGATGTTGATGTGCTTCTTGAGGCTGCCCCCACGTTATAAATTGGAAAATGCCTTTTTCTTTACAACTTTTTCATTGTTCTGTCTGCATGTGCTTTGTTTTCGTTTTGATTAAGACATTACTTGCCTCGAAGTGAGGGGAATATGCCCCCACAAGTGAGAACCAAATGCCAACGGTAACTTTTTCCCCCCTGGTTTTTCACTTTTTGTGACCAAAATTGCTTAGCTATTTCCCAAAACCAAAAAAATGTACTTTTACATTTTACAAGACAAGTTTTTCATATATTTAGTTCATACAACCTCTAATCTTAATTATAAAACTTGTTTGTAGACTATATAAACGAAGTCCTATGATTAAGATCAGAAGTAGTACAACGTAAAATCACTTAAAATAAACTAAGCACATATTTGGGGGAATTTTTAAAACCAAAATTTTGAACCAAACCACAATTTTAAATGCAGAAACAAGGATTCAAAACCCAAAAGAAATTTTAACCCCCCAAAACTCTGGTTATGAACCCAAAATCTTGGCTTTGCAATAAGTCGAGGACAATAGATTTTAAACCCCAAAACCATCGTTTTCTCCAAAATCTCTTTTCATCCAAACATGCCCATCAAACACTTATTAGGCAAAAATAAAGTAGATTGGTAGGTTATGTATATCCCACATGATTTATAAAAGCAGGTCTCACTGTGCGAGAATTGAAAACATTTCAAACTTTTATACATTATATGCATCCCTCGCCTTTGTAACATAATGACATGAAAACTCTCCAAAAGTGGGTTACAAGTACAATTACAAATGTATTTTCAAATAGCTAGCATTTGTGATTGTAATCAGGGGAAAAATATATATATATATAGAGATAGATAAAAGGAGGGAGAAGATGTATGGATACATAGGTACCAGAACTACTGCAACTGCATTACCTCTCTTGCATATAAGTATACAAGGAAATGGATACAATAACAAGCACAATCAGTATTTAACAGATTGCTTTCTACAGGTCACGTACAATATGGGTCACCAATACGTGTGTGTATATATATATCACCACAATACTGTAGGCTGAAGGCAATATTTCACTTCTCATATCACCTAAACTTCAAAAATGAATAACCAATTCACCATATTTTATCATTTCAAATGTCATAGAATTTTCAGTTTACCCTTGGCTATAGATGTCTTAGCATGCTCCATATGGCATGAAGCCTTCTGAGCACCAGTCAGGCCTGAACAGGAGCCAGTGGCGCCCAGAGTAACCGCGAAATAGAGATAAACAGTACAGAGGAAAGTTAGGAGAACGAGAGCAGTTAAGAGGAAGCGATGCCTCTGGACAAGTGTTGACCAGCTTCCCAGTTCATCCCTTTGAAATTGCCTCCTGAAGGATGGTGACTTCCTGTGAGGAGAAGACAGAATGGTGTCGATAACCATGCTGCCTTCTGCACCAACCTTCCTGAGCCCACCAGAAACTGCACGTCAAGAATCAAGACATTAGTAAAACAGTGGTTCCATACTTAAATTTGAATGATAATGGGTGAATTATTACAGTCAAAGCTTGCAACCATGGCCGCACATTCATGGCACTAAGTCTAAGTTTGAAACCTAATGGGAAGCACAATGGAGTTTCAGATTGGATATGCAGCCACATGGAGTAAGAAAAGTCACAAACTCTTGAAATCACGGGCTGATAATAATTGCAGACCCTAATATCAACATAATTAGAAATTTTGCACCTAATCTTTCGATAAAGAAAAGCCGAATGCTGTATGCATTTTATCAAGGTGAACACAGCAGCTGGGTCCAACTTTTCAGAGTACAGGTGTGCAGAGTTAACAAGTCACAAAACTACTCAGAATTTCAATAAATTTATATTCAATTCAAACCCACCAAGCAAATATCAAAATGTGAAAATCCAACGAAAGAATGTATAACTAAAATAATTGCCCAGATCTAAAGGAACAGTTTAATAAATCTTCCATCAATTGAAAAAATGGGGAAGCCCCAACCAAATTCCAGTTCAAACTTCACCACAAATAAGATAGTGAATGAACTTGAGTCATTCCTGGGCTAGACCTTGACCAAGGATAACTCTACAAAAGGCGCATTTAATATTGCCTTTACCCGCAGAGACTCAAATGCAATAAAAATCAACGAATCAAAACAGAAGAAGGCTGTGAATGATGGCTTTCCTATTTAGCAAAAGCCTTCACATAAATTGATGATGAAACGAAAGACAAGCAAAGGGAGCCTTGTTCCATTTGGATAATATATGAGGAACGAGATTTCAAAACCTGGTTCAATATTGTTCAAAATTTAGAGATCGCTATGGTCACAAGCCAATAAATCACTGGCCTGGTTATTAAAGGGAGGACAGAAAGGATTTGTACTCCTGATCTCAGTAAATAAAAACATAACATCGTTAGGCTGCATCAAGGCCTCCCATCTTAATATCTGATGCCTGATGCAAAGGCCAGCCATATTCGCTGTCTTTATCAAAGTGCGAATCCCAAAATTATGACAAAAATGTGGGAAAATCACAGCTATATGCAAACAGCATAATCAAGATCTGACGTTACAACTTGAAGGTCTCAAGATTTGATTTTTTTTTTTTTTTATCCTCCAAGATTTCGTCCCAATTATCAACACATATTAACAATCTACACCAAACCCACACGAAACAAAATCTTACCCATATCAGAAGAGTGGATAAACAAACGAAGATCCCCAAATCCACATAATATCGGCCAAACGAGGAACCCAGAGAAATGAAGAGAGAAAAGGCAAGATCCAAACAGAAAAATGACAGCAAATGTGGGGGAAAAAAAACAAGACTGAAAAGCCCAGATCTAAAAGCACAGAAGAATGCAAAAAGACTTACAGTAGAAGGGAAGAACAGAGAAAGAGGGTCGTCAGAAGGTCCGGATTAGGAGAGTCTGTGACTGGCCGTATGTCTCGCTTGGAATAAAAAGGAGTCAAGGAGGAGCCTGCACGCGGTTACCGCAAACATATATAGAAAAGGAAACAAAATGGGATATTACCATAAATATATATAAATAATCTGTGCGCAAAAAGGGTAAGAGCCAACGGGTCGCTTGTTGGCCCTTGGCGGCTTCCCAGGGGCGTTTATTACTTTGTTAACATTTTAATAGGCGTTAAATATACTTTTAAGTTTTAAAAGGAAAGAAGCTTTATTTTATGAATTTATTCTTCAGTTATTTTGGTAATTAATATAATACTTCAAACCAACCTCTGTCTCATGTTTATAATTTTTTTTCAAAATAATCTCTATGCAACTTACAAGCGTTAAAAGAATTCCCATTAAAAAATAGTTCTAATACATATAAAATATTATTAATAAAGATATTTTAGGAAAGATAATATTTATTTATTATAAATAACTAGTTTAAGTAACTTTTTTAATATTAGTAAAATTGGTAGTCTTATTTTTATAGTTAGCTTATATATGGTAATAGTAGTACTCCACTGGTCCTTAATATAAGACCTAATTGTTGAGTTAGTTTTGGTCCTAAATATAAGACCCATTTTTTTATATTTATAAATTTTATCTAAATTATCCCTATGAATACTCTCTCAAACCATAATCAAGTAAAAGAGGAAAAGGGGTATTAAAAAAGATGATTATGGTATTTTAGGAAAAACGTGTCACATTTCTTATAATTAACTAACTTCCTTAACCTAATCAAATTAATTAATCAAATTAATTAAATGGGTTTTATATTAAGAACAAAAGGAGTATCATTTTAATTTTAAGTATTGAATAATCTAAATGAAGTAATCCTCAAAATATGAAGTTTTTCAGTTATAAGGTTCCACTAATAAACTATGTTTAGGGGATATCAAGTTTCTTACAATCCACGTTAGCTTTGAATTTAGCTCAGGTATATCCAATGCTCTTGTGCTTTAAAGTTATACTATTTTTTCAAAGAGGAAAAAAGGTTATGATATGTATTGCCAAAATATTCCATTTAATTTATTTTATGAAGGAATTTACTTTCTTTTCGTTTTTTTTTTGTCCCAACAAGTTACTTTTATCTCTCTCTCTGATGATTTTTAAAATTAATATCAAAGATATTTGATTAATTTTAATTTTTTACCAGCAAGATTAATTTTAATTTGATTGATAAAGTATACATTAGATAGAAATTTAATTTGATTGATAAAAAAATTTAAAAAAAGAAAAAAGAAAATGTAACATAATTTTTAAAACAAAAAGTATCGATTATTTGTTCTCGATGATTGTCTTTAATTCAAGGATAAATATTTAAATAATGTTAGTTAAGTTTTACAGGACTATTAGCTTTTAAAGTGTTGATAATTTTTTTTATCGCTAGCTTCGTTTGCCTTTCAAAGTTTCATAAATTTAATTAAAATTACTTATTTCTATAAAATTTTAAAATTATTTTCAATAAAATATATTCGTTAAATGAGTTTTTTTTATGGTAAGATTTTTTTTTTACTAAGCACATGTATCTCTTATTCGAGATACTATCGGGTACTAAATGTGAGTACTTCTTGCAATGAAATTCAGACCTTAATTTGTTATATTGTGAAAGACTAACTTCTTCTACTAGACTTAATCTCTATTAGGTACCAACACAATATTTGGATTAAAACAAATGTTCAAACAACATAAACAAAGCCCAAAACAATCTAAATCTAAATCCGAAAAAATAGAGCCCAAACCCAAACAATATTATTATTAGGTAGAAACAATGTCTCGAATATATATTATTTTTTATTAGAAGATATCTATGCGTAGTAAAAAAAAAAAAATTAATACTTTAAATTTTGAAACACACAAGAAATACTTATAATAAAGATTAGAGAGTATAATTAGCTAAAGTTCAAAGCCAAATCCAAATCTAAAGTCGGCTGAAGAGTGAAGAGAAGGTCAAGCATTTGATGTAGTTTATTTTGATCATATGTTCTCTTTTGAATCATTTGGAGTTGAAATCTTCATATACGTTTGAATCTTCTCGCGAAAAAAATATATTACCTTGCGTAAAATATACTCCTCCGGTCTCAAATATAAAACCCTTATATTAGTGTGTATAAGAGTCTTATATTTAGAATCAGAGGAATAATATTGTTTACTGTTTGTTCTATAGTAAAAACAATAGTAACATTGAGGTGTCTTCGTTCAATTGGTGGCTGTTGTTATTTTTCTTTTTGTTGAAAATGTTATTTTAAGTCATTTTAATTTAAAACAAAAAAAATTAGCATCAATGATGTGTCCCCGCGCATTGTAACGCACCGCTCCTGTTTTGCCCAAAATACACAAAGGCTCGTTGCCCAGAACTGTCCAAAGGTGTCCAACAAAGTCTTGGGTAAGTCTGGAACTCTCTAGAAATGTGGGGAGCTTGATGGGGAAGCTTGGAAAGTTCCAGAACACTATAGATACTTGTGGAGACACCTAACCCCTTGTAAATATCTAGATATTTTTGTAGAGTATTCTAGATACGCCATTGTAACCGTTAGATCAAGTAGATCTTAGCCGTCCATTGAGGAGGTGGAAAACTATAAATACCCCTCCTCCCCCCATTAATTTCTCACACTCAAGAAGGTGAGAGTGTTGTAAGTACTTCGAGAGATCAATACAAAGTTCTTTCTTTGAGTCTCTTGTTCCTTCGTGTTCCTTCGTGAGTAGGCTGACTAGCAACTTAAGGCAAGAAGTTTGCTAGGCCGCACGGTTCGTTGGAATTGCGACCAAGTCCGTGACAGTTGGTATCAGAGCCAAGGTTTGAGGATCGTTGGAACATAGAGGTAGATGGAAGGCGGAAGCGAGACTATCAATATGTCTGAGGGAGTCAAGAAGAAATCTAAATCCCAGAGATCTAGTTCAAGGGACACCATGGAGGGTTTTGAGACACGGCTAGCCAAGGTGGAGCTTGCAATAGCCGACGGGGAGGAGAAGTTCGAGGAGATGGGGCAAAGCATGGACGAGTTCCGTGAGGAGATGCAAGCCGCCATGAACAAAGTCCTCGCCCAATGTCTCGACAGGATGAAGGCCATGGAAGAGTCTCACAGGGATGAGGTTTCTTCGATTCGTGGAGAACTCGTGAGGGTCTCGCGTAAGTTGGAGAGTGCCGAAGAGGAGCTCATCTTGTGCAAGAAGGCTCTTGCACAAGAAAGTCCGTCAACGTCCGAGGTAAGGACTACATCCTCTAAAGTAGATGTTCCACGACCTAAGGCTTTCAAAGGGACAAGAAATGCGAAGGAACTAGATAATTTTCTATGGAGTATGGAGCAATACTTCCGAGCGAACGTCGTTACCGACGATGCCCTTAAGGTTAGCATGGCATGTCTCTACCTCGAGGACACCGCTATGGTATGGTGGAGGAGGAGACAAGGGGACATAGAGAAAGGCACTTGCACCATAGACACTTGGGCTGAATTCAAGGGTGAGCTCAAGAAGCAATTTTATCCTAGCAATGTTGAAGAAGAGGCTAGGGGTAGGCTAAGGCGTCTTCAACACAAGGGAAGCATTCGCGAGTATGTGAAAGAATTCACTGAGGTACTACTTGAGATCCCTGACTATCCTGATAAAGAAGCTTTCTTTGCCTTTATGGATGGATTGCAACAGTGGGCTAAACTTGAGATCCAAAGACGTGGTGCTCAAGACTTGACCACCGCTATCTCCATTGCCGAGTCCCTTATTGAGTTCAAGAAACCCGAGAAGCCAAAGCTGAAAGATAAGGGCGGCAAAGGAAAGAGTGGGGGAGAGCATCACCGAGGCAGGGAGACCACGGACAAGTCAAAGGGTCCCAAGGAGTACAAAGCTGGAGAAAGGCCATCACTTAAATGCTTCTTTTGTGAAGGACCACATAAAGCCAGGGATTGCCCAAAGAAGGCTAAACTTTCAGCATTGATCGAGGAAAGGGAGGAACGGGAACGAGAAGAGGAGAAAGTAGGATCCCTACAACTCCTCAATGCAATCAAGGCAAAGGTGGAGATGCCCAAGTCCGGAAGGAAGGGACGGTTATTTGTGGAAACCGAGATTGGAGGACACACCGTCAAAGCACTTGTGGACACGGGAGCTTCCAACAACTTCCTTAGAGTGGAAGAGGCTAAAAAGTTGGGCATTCACTACCAAGGAGAACGTGGTTGGCTTAAGGCAGTCAATTCAGGACCGAGGGCTACCTTTGGAGTTGCTCGTGATGTCAAGGTAAGCCTGGGCGATTGGAACGGCCTTGTAGACTTCTCCATTGTCACCATGGATGACTATCCAATTGTCTTGGGTATGGAATTCATGGACAAGGTTAAGGCCGTGCCAATCCCCTTTGCCAACACGATGTGCATCTTGGAAGAAGGTAACACCCGACTAGTACCTCTAGAACGGGAAACCCAACTCCGAGAGAAGCAGATTTCGGCCATGCAACTCTCCAAAGGCATAAAGAAGAAGCAGCCCACATATCTAGTTGCTTTGGAAGAAGAAGCAGTAGCCTCGCCAACTAAAAACCTCCCGAGGTGTATTGAGCATGTCCTGGAAGAATTCAAGGACATGATGCCGCCCGAGTTGCCCAAGAGGTTGCCACCAAAGAGAGAGGTGGACCACAAGATAGAGTTGGTTCCTGGTGCCACACCACCTGCGGCAGTGCCTTACCGTATGGCGCCTCCGGAGCTTGAGGAACTTAGGAGGCAATTGAAGGAGTTGGTGGACATGGGATATATCCGTCCATCAAAAGCACCTTATGGAGCCCCGGTATTGTTCCAGAAGAAGCATGATGGGTCACTTCGGTTATGCATCGACTACCGGGCGCTTAACAAGATCACGGTGAAGAACAAGTACCCAATCCCACTTATTGCCGATCTCTTTGATCAACTTGGCCAGGCTCGTTGGTTTACCAAGTTGGATCTAAGGTCGGGATATTATCAAGTACGGATAGCCGAGGGAGACGAACCAAAGACAACATGTGTCACGAGGTATGGTTCGTATGAATTTCTTGTGATGCCTTTCGGACTCACAAATGCACCAGCAACATTTTGCACCCTCATGAATCGAGTCCTACAACCGTTCTTGGACAAGTTCGTGGTGGTATACTTGGATGACATTGTCATTTATAGCAAGACGTTGGAAGAACACGTGAAGCATCTTAAGCAAGTCTTCCAAGTCCTCAGGGAGAACGAGTTGTATGTCAAGAAGGAGAAATGTGCCTTTGCTCAACAGGAAGTAACTTTCTTAGGGCACATTGTCGGAGGGGGCAAACTACGGATGGATGAGTCCAAGGTGCGTGCTATACAGGAATGGGAACCGCCAAGGAAGGTACCCGAACTTCGTTCTTTCCTTGGATTGGCCAACTATTATCGAAAATTCATCAAAGGCTACTCTGCGATAGCCGCTCCCCTCACCGATCTTTTAAAGAAAAACCGAGTATGGGATTGGGATGATAAGTGTCAAGCCGCTTTTGAGGAGCTGAAAGCAGCCGTGATCAAGGAACCGGTGTTGGCCTTGCCTGACCACACCAAACCATACGAGGTACAAACGGATGCTTCAGACTTTGCCTTAGGAGGAGTCCTAATGCAAGAAGGTCATCCGGTGGCTTACGAGAGTCGTAAGCTTAATGATGCAGAACGGCGTTACACAGTTCAAGAGAAGGAGATGACGGCCGTGGTGCATTGCCTGAGAACGTGGAGACATTATTTGTTGGGTACCAAGTTCATCGTGAAAACCGATAATGTCGCCACAAGCTACTTCCTTAAGCAGAAGAAGCTTACACCGAAGCAGGTAAGGTGGCAAGCCTTCTTAGCAGAGTTCGACTTTGTGATGGAGTACAAGCCAGGAAAAGGGAACGTCGTGGCCGACGCATTGAGTAGAAAGGCCGAGCTTGCCTCCATCACTAGCCCGAGTTTCCCTTTGGTTGATCGAGTCAAGGAGGGACTAAAGCAAGACCCACAAGCCAAAAGTTTGATGGAATTGGCAAGTCAAGGGAAGACACGCCGGTTTTGGCTTGAGGATGGGGTGCTCATAACCAAAGGAAACCGAGTGTACGTGCCAAAATGGCAAGGCTTAAGGAAGGAGATCATTAAGGAGTGCCATGACTCGAGGTGGGCTGGACATCCCGGAGTTCGACGCACGATGGCACTCATTGAGCGAGCATACTTTTGGCCCCAGATGCGAGATGATGTGGAGCTCTACGTGAAGACTTGTCTTGTGTGTCAGCAAGACAAGGTGGAACAACGCCCCGTTTCTGGCTTACTAGAGCCACTTCCGATTCCCGAGAGACCATGGGAAAGTATTTCCATGGACTTCATCACTTGTTTGCCGAAGACAGAAGGATGCAGCAACATTATGGTGGTGGTGGACCGGTTTAGCAAGTATGGAGTATTCATACCAGTCCAAACCAAATTCACTGCAGAAGATGCTGCGAAGTTATTCTTCAAGTTCGTGGTGAAGTATTGGGGCATACCAAAGACTATTGTGAGCGATCGGGACACTCGCTTCACGGGACGATTCTGGATGGAGCTCTTCAAAATTATGGGGTCCGAACTTAACTTTTCCACAAGCTTTCACCCGCAGACCGATGGCCAAACGGAGAGGGTGAACGCTTTACTCGAACTATACTTGAGGCACTACGTAAGTGCCAACCAGAAGGACTGGGTTAAGCTCTTGGACATTGCCCAGTTTTCATACAACTTGCAGAAAAGTGAATCAACTGGGTCAAGTCCGTTCGAGTTAGCCACGGGGCAACAACCGATGACTCCGCACACTTTAGCTGTTGGCTACAAAGGCCCGAGTCCTTCAGCTTTCAAGTTTGCCAAGGGGTGGCATGAAAAATCAGACATGGCAAGGGCGTACTTAGCTAAGGCCGCGAAGAAGATGAAGAAGTGGGCCGACGCTAAGAGGAGGCACCTAGAGTTTGAGGAAGGTGATTTAGTCATGGTGAAACTCCTTCCTCATCAAAGCCGGAGGTTCGCCAAGGTTCATAAAGGGCTAGTGAGGCGCTATGAAGGACCGTTTCCTATAGAGAAACGCATCGGTAAGCTAGCCTATCGCTTGACTCTACCTTCACACTTGGAGATGCATCCTGTTTTTCACGTAAGCCTACTGAAGCCGTACAACGAAGACAAGGATGAACCAAGTAGAGGTGAGTCTAGAAGAGCCCCTACAGCAATTACTACGGTGCCAGAACGGGAAGTTGAGGAAATCCTCGCGCACCGAGTAATACCGAGACGGGGGAGTCATCCGAGCTACATTGAATACTTTGTTAAATGGAAAGGATCTCCCGATAGTGAAGCAAGCTGGGAACACGAGCTGGCTTTATGGGACTATAAGGAGAAGATTGAGGCATATAAGAGGGATGCGCCGAGGACGTCGCCACATTAAGTGGGGGAGAATGTAACGCACCGCTCCTGTTTTGCCCAAAATACACAAAGGCTCGTTGCCCAGAACTGTCCAAAGGTGTCCAACAAAGTCTTGGGTAAGTCTGGAACTCTCTAGAAATGTGGGGAGCTTGATGGGGAAGCTTGGAAAGTTCCAGAACACTATAGATATTGTGGAGACACCTAACCCCTTGTAAATATCTAGATATTTTTGTAGAGTATTCTAGATACGCCATTGTAACCGTTAGATCAAGTAGATCTTAGCCGTCCATTGAGGAGGTGGAAAACTATAAATACCCCTCCTCCCCCATTCATTTCTCACACTCAAGAAGGTGAGAGTGTTGTAAGTACTTCGAGAGATCAATACAAAGTTCTTTCTTTGAGTCTCTTGTTCCTTCGTGTTCCTTCGTGAGTAGGCTGACTAGCAACTTAAGGCAAGAAGTTTGCTAGGCCGCACGGTTCGTTGGAATTGCGACCAAGTCCGTGACAGCATCCCGGGGGCCATAGTGTGTTAGGTAAAAGTGCTGAAATGTGGAAATTCTTTTAGAAAGATCTGTAAAAGAAAGGACTGTCTATTTCAAAGTAATGTTATGACTTGGAAAACTTATATTTACCCTTTTTATAAATTTTATAATAATAATATTTTAAAAATTCAGATTATTCAAGAAAAAGACCCCAAACCTTTATTTTGTCGGGAAAGACAAAATGCCCTTGCTATTAGAATTTTATAAACTTCGTATTAGTCATCGCAGAAGTCATTGCAAAATGTGCAGCAAAGAAAATATAATGTATGTTTTCTGATGTTAAGAGTTAAAATGGTAAAAAGCTTAAAAAGTTCAAAGCAGTAACCAAGTCCATTAAGAAACATTTGTTGTAGATTTCTAGTGGAAAGACCTTGGGATTTGATAGGGTAAAGAACTTCACAGCTTGTAATAGTCCTTCAAAGTCCACGTAATTCTAAGTCTAGATGATAGCATTTTAGAAAGAACCTGATTGACACTAACCAAGTCATCATATTTGTTGGGGTGAAATTTTAACTGCAAATGCGGCTATCCTGAGTTGTTGTATGTGATTTTCTAGAAAGATTCGTACACTAAAAGATCAAAATGACCGGAAGCTGGGCAAGTGAAAGCCCTCTAGTGGGTCTCCTTTCCCTCTATCCCAATAAAGAGCAAAAAGGTTCTTCCCCAAAAAAAAAAAAAAAGAGAGAGGGCATAAGGATTGAGCATTATGACATATGAAATAGCAGTAACAGTAATCATCTTACAGTTGGAACTTTACTACGTCATTTGTTTGAACGGCTTCCATGTAAATAATATCCTACAATCAATTGTAACAGTCCTTTTTCCCGTTTCAATGACCTGAATATACCAATCCCAACCCAAACTCTACCTTCAGAAATTCCTCCCCCTCCCCAAAAATAAAAGCCAAAACAAAAATAAAAACTATAATTCAATCCTCAAAATCTCCAGCATTCTCCAACAAATAGTTGGCCGCCAACTGCTCATCCCGGTCACATGCCAAAAATGCCTCTATAACTGAGGCTCTATCAAATCCCATGGCTTCAAGCTACAAATCATGGGTCAAAAATCAATCAGAACATGTGAAGATCAAAAGGGGGTGTTTAGGCAAATGGGAAAGTAAAAAGAACGTGTCAGACTTGATAAAATGCAGAGACATACCCGTCCAATTGCTTCCTGCTCAGCTGGTGTCACATTGATAGAATGAGGCATGTCTAGCTCAGGCTGGTCAAACAGAGCCCTAAATAGAAAGAAGGAGGATGCGTTTTTCAGATTTAACAGTTCAGAAACATACAAAATCATGAGAAGAGAATGAAGTCTTCAGTTCAATATCTATCAAGTGTCAGGATTGGATATCCAGCTAACATGTTGAAACATTACTTTCATGTCAGGTATATACGGCAAAGACTGACAGCCAACAGTTGAAAAATATATTATGGGAAATATGCTGATGGAATCAAGAGAGGGTTGTAAAGATAACGATAGCATACACCATATATGGCAACCAAACTCACCCTTCAGAACCTTCAACTGGTTCATTAATTAACTGGAGAAACTCAGCATGATGCTCTTGAATCAATCCTAACAGATTGGGATTCTGCTTTCCCAGCTCCTGAAGCACAGGCTGCAGTAGCAAGTATCTTGATCAATTCAGACTGACGAAAAGCCAAAAATCATATATATATAAATATATATATATATATATATATAAACAGATACCTGTAGGATTTGTGGATTGGAATGCACCATTGACCGCAATGCTTGAAACTGAAAAGCAGATAAAGAACCAAAAACTTAATAACTATGAAAACTAAAGCAAGTTCCATAGGAAAATCAAATTATAAGCCAAAGTTTTCCCAAGACTCACCATCTACTAAGCATATCAGCATAGAAAATATCATAATTTATCCCATAATAAACAGTATTTGACAGAAGAATGCTCCGCTAAGGCCAACTAATCATTTCCCTCCCTTAACACTTTCTTCTTCCATATTTAAAAAAAAAAGAAAGAAAGGAATCAATTAAAACACCCAACTTTGGTTATTTTTTGCTTGCCAGATCTTTATGTGTACAAGTTCCTCACATACACATGCAGAACAAAATAATTTATTGCATTAGGAAAACAATAGCTGACCAGCAAGCCCACCTGGGGATTGTTTCTAAGGAAGTCAAGAGATCCAAGTCCAGCATCAGCACCAAGTGACTCCTGGATGAGTTTCAGGTAAAAATGACGCATGAATATCAGCAACAAAATATGTAAACAACCAGGTATAATGACTTTTGATTATCTATTCTAAATTTGAAGTTTTACCTGAGGAAACATGTTTAACGGAGATGAGTTAGGTGCTCCAGAAGCAGCTCTGGCAGTAGCCTCGCCTGTTTCAGTTGTCTGACTAACTGGAAGTTGCGCAACTGGTTCAGCAACTTCTGTTGCTTCAGGAATTCCCTGCAGAGCAAAGTTGTTTCAATCCATAAGACAGCACAAAATGAGAACTTAAAAGACACAGAGAACAGCCTAGACATACAGAATACAAGTAATCTACAGCACGCTCTGGGTTATTAAAAGCTGCCCGAAGAGCACGACTAACTGTCTCTCTGTCCCAGTTGCCACCACCCATGTCCATAATTTGTTGAATAGTCTGTTCAAGATTAGTACTAGCAACTAAATTTGAAGCAGCCTCACCATAAGTATCTGTAGGTACACTGCAAAAATCACATGGAACTGGTTTTACAACATTCATTATAACAGGAAATGAAACAACAGCACTCAAATGCACAAGATTCTGAACCGAAACAGTACTGCACTAGCAAATCATAGTTTAGGAGGTGAAATAATACGCAGCATACATAACAAACACACACACGTTTGTACTAAAATGCGTAACACTAACAAGCATTCAGTCAATTTTAGACCAGCTCCTGAGTAACACGGCCTGAATAAATTTTCATTTACCAAAATGTTAATGTTTAATCAGGAAAGACTGATTTGTAAATCCAAAATCATAACAACTAAATGTATGCATGATGCACGTCCAAATGGGAGTCAACACGGAGGCAGACGACAACAAATGCTATCCTAGGCTGTACAACACAACAGCTGAAGTGGGGCAAAGTTTATAACAACATCCACTGCACATAAACACTAAACACTTAATTAGCACCACATCAACTTCACTTCAGTTGTAGAAACATCCATTCTTTAAAGTTTAGCAGCCTATGTATTACATAACAAGATTTGTTGAATAGAAACCTCAAGATCAAAGCAGTTTCAATTAAACGCATATAAGTGACCACTAATGTCCAGACTCTAGCTAAGTCATCATCGTTTGAAAACAAGCATGCAATAAAAATTAATAATACAAAAGAAACCGTTTGATGCCACTTCACATTTAATTGGGAATATCTAGGAATAACTGCTTTCATAACAAACGAATTTAAAGCTGATATTTTTTGTTTTTTGGTACACCAAATAAAAGGAAAAAGAATAAACACAAGTTCTTTTTCTGGTGTCAGAAAAATATAATATAAAAGTCAAGCCATCGTCAAAATTTGATAAACATCCCTATACATTTTCATATTCAGTTTATATAGGAAACATTCATACTTTGTTACTGTAACATCTGTGGTAGATGGTGTGTTTTTTGCAGTCCTGCAAAATCAAATTAAATGAATAAGGAAAAAATTCCAGCTAATAAATTAAATAAATAGATCAAAGAACGTCCAAATAAACTCACTGAGTTTGTACTGTTGGATTAGACACTGGAGTGGAATTTGATGCAGTTCCTGCTGTAGTTGTATTACTAGCAGGCTGTCACACATGTTCATATATAGGCAATCACTAGACAAATAGAGAGAGAAACAAAAGATAAACTAAAATGCTTAAAAAAGAATAGCATGAGCAAAGAGAAGACCTGAGTGGATGAAGCCCCAGCTGAACTGAAGGTCTTGTTCTGCAAATAGATAAGTAAAATGCCATATTAGGGTAAATTGAGTTTAAGGGAAGGAACAATTACAAAAAAAGGCCAAAGCATAGTATAAGGGAATTAATGTGAGAATAGATATGAATCTACAAATTTAAATAAACGACATAATATAAAATAGATTATCACATTTAATGCTTTCTGAACTCATCGAGAGAAAATCTTGGGAATGGTAACGCAGAAAGAGTCAAATAATTACTCATGCTGTTCACAAGCAAAAGCTCAAATACAAATAGGTATGTAGTTGACTAGATAAGAAAGAAGGGTGCACTAAATATTAAAAACCATGCATCCTCGTTATAAAAAAAATAAATAAATAAGCCCCACCTGTCACCAAAAAAAAAAAAAAAAAAGCCCCACCTAAATGATTTACAGAATCGTGAATGGGAAATGTGAACAGAGTCAGTTAACTAAAACCACCATTAATCAGTCAATTTGACTGGATCCATAGAGAGAAAGTCACTAACTTCTCATTTCAACTTATTTTTCCTCTCATCACTTTAATGTGGTGCGCTCAAACTTAAAAGTCACTGTGATATGAGTTAAGATAGGCATCTACCAACTATTGGAGAAGTCAATGCAAAATTTATGAACCAGTGAGTGGGGACTATTTGGACAAACAAACTTGATTCATCCTACTATTTACCCAAAAAGAAGCTTTATTGTGATTATGTTTAGCCATTTTAGATTTTCACCTTGCAAGGACTAGGCTACCATGATACCACAATGTTGTTGGTTCACCACAAGTTACATTCCCAGAACAAAACTGGTATAAAAAGAAAATAAACTGATCCATTGGAACCAAATGCAATGTACAAAAAGCACATAAGATAACAATATTGTCCAGCAAAAAGCTCATGAAGAAGGAAAGATACCTTACTAAGCATTACAACAATGAATCCATCTTCAGAAACATTGTTATCTGCTAGTGTAGTCTCATCTTTCAACACCTTGCCATTGTGAATCAGCAATTGCTGTCCACATGGATAATTATCTTTCCCTTGTACATCTTCAATGTTCTTCTTAACTGCCATGACCTTCGGTTGACAAAGAAGTGCAATTTCAGACAACATAGACTAAGTTTCAAACTGTCCCCTCCACAATATTCAAACTTTTGTTTAGATGAATTATAAAATATAACAATAAATTAACATTGTGATGACAAATTCAAGATGAAATAGGTAAGGGAACATGAAATTAACAGAAACTCGTGCTTCGTAATAAAGTTAAGAGACATTTCAGCGCCAACGAGGTTGCAGAATCACTCGACACATACAATATTGTTAAAACAATCCCATACAGAATAAGAAATTCATGTATATAATGCAAATGCAAGCTGAGTTAACGTAGAGACAAGTTAGAGAATAGTCTCATTCTTCAAAACAGCTACAACTTCATTCCAAGGACAATATAAATTAAAAAAAATTATTGGATATTAAGTGACCTAACCGCAAAAATGAGGCAAGGCTACTGATTTGAAATACTCAAGCTCAACAAATTCGCTTTCAGAAATCTAAAATACAAGAACTGAATCACAAAATCCAATAAACTACAGACGAGAGCTCAGTTCATTGTTCCTGTCATAGTTTTGAACGACGACGCAAACAGCAAAATTGAGACCTAAAAGAGAACACAGAAAAGGAGGCGAAGGGGCAATGAGATTACGAACAGTGTCGGAGGGCTGGGCCCCGATTTCGAAATTCCTTCCTTTCAAAGTCTTCACCTTGAGCTTCATGTCGGCGAGCTATGAGAATGACGTGGGCAACTGCAAAAATCGGACTCAACTACACTGGTTCAAAGGGAAACCCTAGAGACTGGCAGCTTCGATTGTCGCTTGCTGCTCATCTTTTTTGTTCTTTTTCTGTTTTTTTCTCGCAAAAAAATAAAAACATCTGGGCATATATAAGACTAGCATGAGTTCAAGCGCCTGAAAATCATGCACACTTTTCTTCGCCTTTTACATTTAAAATTCTCAGATTCGAACTGTGGTCCGGCGTCTGATTTCCTTGGTCCCCAACTGCTTTAAGTTGAAATTATTTGCCGTTTGTAAATAAAAATCCCACATTCTCATGCTCCCTTCAATCATAAAATTTGTTGTGGCTAGTAGAGCATCTTCTGTCTGTTTTACTTGATACTTCCGTTGAATCTAAATATAAAAATTAGATAATTAATTTGTAAAGATAAAAAAAAAATTAGTTATATTAGTTATGTATTAAAAAAGTTTACTGTGTTAGTTTGCCCAAACTATCATTTTAATTATTTGCATTAAAAATACTTCTTTGATAAAAAGTCCTATTAATGTGTGCATTAATAGAGAGTTTTAAAAAAATTATAAATTTAAAAAATAAAATAAATTTAAATATTACATTTAATTCACCAACCTAGGGCCTGTTTAGAACATCTTATAAATAGCTTTTTAATCGTAATTTATGAAATATGAGACAAATATATAAAAAAAATTTATCCTAATTTACGCGTGCTTATAAGTGATTTTCACCGCTATCCCAAACAAGTCTTTACAAATTTAGGCTACTGTGTCAAACTTGAGATTCCACTCCTCTTCTTTGAAGTCTATTCATTAACTCAAAGCTGCGAGTTGTCACATATATACACTTAGATTTTTTCTCTTTGAGCAATTTGTACTCATCAACTTGTACACACCCAACATGTATAAATTTGATCGACTCTAATTAAAATTACAACACATTCTTAAATAAGAGAAAATTAATCTTTTAGTCCTTAAAGTTTTGACTTGCTTAAAATTCAATCTCTCATCTTTTTTATTTTAAATAATGTTGTCCTTATCATCTATAACCTATATCAAGTCATCACTGAGTCATCTTACATGAAAAAAAAATACAGTCATAAATTCTTTTGTGGATTTCCAGCTCAGTTCTCTATGTGAATTTGACAAAACAATTGTAAAAAAAAAAAAAGCTTCAGATTTACCATGAACTCGGATTGGAGATGAAGTACAAATGGTGACCTCACTCTCCCTCACTCACCTCCTCTCCTCTTCTCGACAATCATCCTCAACACCATCCTATACAGACTGATGAATGTGAATGTGTTGGAGTTGCAGTTGTCCCTTGAAACTCCTCGTTTTTGTTGCTTTCAAGATGATTAGTTTGTGAGCTTGCAGTAAACTATATAGGATTGGGATGGATCTTTCTCACCATCTCAATTGGAATTAGAATTGTCAATGATGAGACACCGCCATTTTTGAATGAGTTTATGCCCTGTTTCCTTTTCTTTTTTTTCAGTTTGCTCCAAAAGTTTTCAGCCCATTTGGTAATTCTTTGTCTCAGCTAGCAAGCATCAAAGCGATGAAGAAGAGGAGAGGAGGTGAGTGAGGGAGAGCGAGGCTGCCGTCAGTCATCGCCACTTTGAGTTCATGGTAAATCTGAAGCTTTATTTTTTTTTTTCAATTTTTTTGTCAAATTTGCATGGAGAGCTGAGCTGGAAATCCACAAAAGAATTTATAACTGTATTTTTTTTTTCAGGTAGGATGGCTCAATGATGACGTGGCATGGATTATAGGTGATAAGGACAAAATTATTAACAATAAAAAAGATGATGGACTAGGTTTTAAGCGAGTTGAACTTTTTGAAATTAAATTATAATGAGTCATAATTAATGAACTAAGTTTTAAATGAGTTAAAACTTCAAGGAGTAAAGGATTAATTTTCCCTTTAAATAATTAACACCTTTGACAAATTACTTGATGACCTTTAAAATTACACATTGTTTACATATTTATCCTTGTTTGATAGCGAGTTTCAATTAAAAACACCTTATTAATTAAACTTTGAAAAGCAAAAACATGTCATAATTTTTTTTACTATGATGCTTCTAAAAAATATATGGGCAATCTTACTTAAGACTTCTTTTTTATCAGTTTTAAGTTAAAGAGATGATTATTGTCAATTGGGTGAAGCACTTCCAGTGTGTGTCCATAACACTCTCATTATTAGAGGAAATACTTATGATCAAGAATGAAATAGGACAAATAAATGAAAAGAAGACTGATTGACTAGAGGGGGAAAGGAGACTGATTGACTATTGTAAAAAGAATTTAAATGATGAAGAACTTCGTCAAAAAGTTAGATGCTTGGTAAATAAGGATGGCGAATGGGATATGGAGAAAATAGAAAGCTGTATTTTGGAAGAAGGACAGAATCTTATTCTTGCTATACCGCCCCCATGTGATTCTAATGGAAAGGATACTATTAGATGGGGATCCAGTGTCAAGGAGAAGTATATTGTGGCAGAAATGTACTGGAAGATGAAGGGAGAAGGAGGGAATAAAGAGGAAGTGTGGAATAGAATCTGGAAATGGAAAGGGCCTAGAAGAATTCAAACATTCTTATGGATTGCTGCACATGAATGCCTTCTAACTGCTGAGAGGAGAAGCAAATTTTTTGGTGGTAATAAGGAGTGTTATAAATGTAGTGGCAAAACAGAAAATATAATGCATGTGATAAGAGATTGTGAAGTAGCGGATAGAGTTTGGAATCGATTAGGTGGCTGGACTCAATTTCCAGAGTTTCTTTTGCTACAAGGGAAGGAATGGATTAAGTGGGGGCTGTGTAGGCAAGACAAGCTAAAGGTTACTGAATTTGGAGTGGCTTGCTGGCAACTATGGAACTGGAGAAATAAGGTTTTGTTTGAAACTGGATTTAAAATACCTGAATGCCCTGAAATAGTGATTGGAAAGTTTGCTAGGGAAATCTCAATGTTCTCCTCATGTATACTCTCCCAAAAGCATCAGGAGGCAGGAAGGAATATTAGATGGATACCACCTGAGGAGGGATGGTTAAAACAAACTCTGATGGTGCAGCCAAGGGTCAACCGGGTCTGGCGAGCTGTGGAGGTCTATTGAGAGCTGCTGTGATGGAAAGTGGATTACTGGATATGCTAGGAAAGTTGGCGTGTGTACAGAAGTCATGTGACGAATCTATCTAGTTCTAAATATACTTGAAATTCCTCCATTTTTAAATTCGATTTGGGCCAAGGATCGAAGATTTATTGGGTTATCAAATAATACATAGTGCGATACAGTCAAAAATAAAGGCAGAGTTTTGGGGTGTCCTCAAAGGTTGCAGCTGACAACTAAACTTGGTATACAATATTTGATTGTTGAAGGTGATTATGCTGCTGTTGTAAAAATTTTAGAAAGCATATAGTTAGCTCTGATATAGATTCTGCTTTGTTAAGCTTGTGAAAGCTGAATTGATTAAGCTAGCACAAGTTAGATCCAGCATGTATATAGAGAAGCAAACTATAGTGCTGATTGTCTAGCTAAGTTTAGTTTTAGTATTGATGGGTTGCTGAAGGTTTTTAACGAGCCTCCCCACAAAGGTTCAGTTGCTTGTACAATGACTTTGTGGGTGTTGCTTTCCCACGTTCAATTTTGATGCAATAAGATAGGCTAAATGCCTCATACTATTCACCAAAAAAAATGAAAAGAAGATAAATATATAGAAAAATGACATTCAATGTAATGTGCTTGTTAGGATTAAATCGTCTTTACCTTATTTTAAGTGTTTTTGTAATGTGAAAAGCAGGTATGTAATGAAATTTATCTTGAACTGTGAAAATATATTTTATTAAAAAATAAAAATAAAGTTGGCTATATAAAGATATTGTTCCTCTCTTCCGTTTTAAACTAAAAAAAATAATATTAAAATCACTTCCGTTCTTTCTATTAAAAAAAAAAAAGCACTTGCTTTCTCTCTTTTTATTAAAATTTCTCCCTCTCTGTCCTTCTATTAAAATCCTTTCCTGCCCTCCCCTCCCTCCATTGAACCAAACCCTGAGAAACTTACCCTATTTTCAAAAGAAAAGGACAAATTGATATGAACAATAAGAATGAAGATTAGTTACAAGCTAACGTCAATGGAACAAAAGCTGCAACTGCGCAACTGAAAAACCTACTATAAAAGAAAGAAGAACAGGTCGCTGGAAAAACGATGGGGGTGAGAAGACATGAAACAACGGGCAAAAAACATCTTATTGAACCATTTTAGACAAAGAACTCTGGTCCCGTAGTAGCTCATTGTTTCAAAATATACAAACTCATAGCTATGCCAGATTTTTTCTTTTTTTCTTTTATGTTTTTTCCCATGCGCAGGTTGAGTTCAAAGCATTAACAACAACTTTCTTGTGTTCTTATAAGTTTTAAGCATTATGTTGCTTAGTAAATATAGGAATGTTTATGAGATGGGATCAGGACAAGCCCGTCTTAGTCCCATTTTAATGAATAGGAATGCGATGAGATTTTTTTTGTTTGATGTCCCGTCTCATCCAATCTTTTTGTTTTTTTTAACCATTGAAAATTTAGGTCAATGCATTCTAGGTCTTTTTATGTAATAATATTGTTTTTTTGAACTTCTAAAGGTAACTCTATGTAGATACTAAATAACCCAATTTAACGGGAAAAAAAACACTAAAACAATGATTATGTTAAAAAACCCAAGTAAGTAAAAAAAAATAAGATGCAAAAAACGAACTTGGTAAAAAAAGTACTATAAAAAAAATTAGGAGACCCCACGAAAAGAATAGGAGTAGAGACTTAATGCAAAAAATAGTAAATAATTCTATAATAATAGTAGTAGTAGGTGAATTAAAAAATGACCTAGGTCATGTTATCTATTTTTGTCCCATGCCGTAATTTTTTTTTTGTCGTCCAAGTTGATTAGGATCGAGCGAGTTGATTGGGACGATACAAATTGAATAATTTTTAGCCTCTAATTAATATATAAGCTAGATAAAACTAATTTATAAAAACTAAAAAAATAGTTAAATCAGTTATTTATAAAAAAAATATTGATTTTTTTTAAAAACATCACCTTTATTCATTTGTATTAGTATTATATTTGATGAAAAATTTTTAATAACATGTGTAATCAACAAAATAAATTTAAAAATGTTATAAATTGAAATCAAAGCATTAACGTGACTAAATTAAACTTCTAACTAGTTATAATTACGAGAGAAAAGAGTATAATAATAATGTTAGGCCCCTTTTT